TATACTCGAGTATAAGCCGTCCCGAATATAAGCCGTTCTAGATATGAATGGTTATTAGTAGCTTATAAAATTTTGGCCTACATTTTATTATACAGAATGGGTTGTTTTTTTTAAGCAAGTATATCTTTATTGTTTTGCATAAAACATACAATGACTTAAAAGATTAGCGGACGTCAAACAGTGGTGTACAGCCGTACACTCCAAGTAAACATGTCATCTATACAGACAATATAGGTTCAGTTATATCTTGAACACGTTACTCTGATGACAAAAATCCGTAGCTGCCTAATACAATGAACACATGGAGAAATTGAAAGCGTCAAAAATTATCGTAAAGACACTATATTTAATAAAAGCATGGGGGAGAAGAGGAGGAAAAGAAGACATGGGAGAAGAAGAAAGAGAATGGGCAGACGTAGTGTAGAAATGTATCAAGTGTTGATTGTGAAACAAATGCGTTGCAAATATAACAGTATTGGCAGGGAGGAATTCACTAGTATAAGGAACATGAAGGGGGGACCCAAAAGGCAAAATAAGAAGATATAGAACATGAAACACACATAAGAAGCTTTTCAGCATACATACTTAAGTAAATCCTAGCATCTAGGTATTATAGCACATCAAGTGCACCCAAGGATCCTTCCGATTTGGCTATAATAAATGCCTTTTGATCGGCCATAAGTCCATTGACCTCCTAACTACCTCTTTGAGTTGACAACATAACACTGTGCCTCTACTGTACTGAAATGTCAGTGGTGTCAGTCCTCAACTGTACTATAGAAACCCTGCACCCCCTCCCCCCCCCCAATATCTCACTTCCAAAACTTTAGAGGACAGTTCTGTAGTCCAGGGCAGGGCTGATTGATCACTGCTTGCAATGTCAATGCAGTAGATGCAGCTTTGTCAGCTCAAAATGGAAGTTAGGGGCTCAGTCAGTTTCTGGCAGGGTCAACATGACTTTTTTTTAGATTTGCAGAATATTTAAAGAGACGCAACATGGGAAAATGTGCATGCATTGCTGAGATGTGCTTTTTGTATTACTATTTTGGCCAGTAATATACTTTACTAGCAGGAAATCTGATTGCACAAAGCTGAATGAATCATAGGAAGACCACACCTCCCTCTTTGGTAATTGAATTTTAATTTTTGGTGTGTGTCTCCACGAGTGCATTCAGCTCCTATGCTCCCCCATCACTCTGCCTATTTTCAGAGCACTCTTTTATAGGTGGATTAGTGTGGCTTTGTGGGATAGTATGGGCCAAATCTTTTATGTTTCATTCAGGCCAGAGTGAACTGAAGTCCATACTGTCATACTTGATAGTTGGGGGCTCTTGGAACACCGATGTCACCAGAACAAAGGAGACCCTATAGCACAACTCTAGCTAGAACTTTCTGTCTTTGATTCAGGAAGAAATAAGGAAAGTTTAGAACGTCTTTCTAAATTCTGTTTGTTTACCCTCAGAGGAGATTTTTCTTCTCTCTATGCTCTGGCTGACACTTAACACCTGGGCATGAAGTGAGGGGACATACTGTATTCCTCAAGGGGACACGGAAGGCAATGAAATCCTAAGAGAGGTTCTAAACCTTCACTGTGCTAGAATTTTTTTTAATGAGGTTAAACAAAAAAAAAATAGACCCTTGTATTCCCAGCTTGAGTCAGTCAGGCTACTGCATTGTACCGTGCCCCTCTAACTCTAGAAACCTGGTGCTAATGAGAAAGCAGACTGAGCAGAGTGATGACCTCAGCAGTGTGGTAATGCTCTTTAGAATTTTATCAGCAAGCTAGGGTTGGGTCAGTTACAAAGGCGTATTGCTTCACAGGACTGGAAAAAGCTTGGGTCAGCAACCTCGCTGTTGTGTTTGGTAGGAATGCCTGGGTAACAGAACTATGTAGAGAAATCGATATTATGTACCATTTCAAAAGCCATTTGACGTTCCAATGAAGGAATGTAGAAGCTGATCCTGAATAGATAATAGGATATATGTAAGTATATATGCAGTGGGTGTCTGTGTATGTGTGTATGCACTCACTGGCCACTTCTTTAGGTAAACCGCTCATTAACGCAATCATGATGGGGGAGCACTGCTCATTAACACAAATATCTAATCAGCCAATTAATAGCAGCAACTCAATGCATTTAGGCATGTAGACATGGCCAATATGATTTGAAACTGAATTTCAAACCGTGCATCAGAATGGAGAAGAAAAGTCATTTATGTGACTTTGAACGTGGCATGATTGTTGGTGCCTGATGGGCTGGTCTGAGTATTTCTGAAACTGCTTATCTACTGGGATTTTAACACACAACCATCTCCAGGGTTTACAGAAAATGGTCTTAAAGCGAGAAAATATCCAGTGAACGGCAGTGTGATTCCTACCAGACCTAAAGGGCCTGGTATGAATTGGGGGGGAACATCACGCTGTTTTTTTTTCCATCTTCTGCAGACTGTAAAAAAAATAAATTTCTAATGTCATTTTGCTGCAACATAATTTCGTCCAAAAACTAATTTTCGACTGGACTGCCGCTAACGAATTTCGTCCGAACCCGAATTCCGAAATGAATTTAATTTCGGAACCGAATCTGAAAAACAAAATAATGCAAAATCGGAATCAAAACGAAACTAAACAAATTTTTGCTGGTGCACATGTCTAGTGTGTGTGTGTGTGTATGTATGTATGTATGTATGTATGTATGTATGTATGTATGTATATATATTCTTCTCTCTAGTTTTGTTCAGTTAAGCTTTGAAAATTAAAGAGTGAAGCTGGTTGCCATGAACAGCTGCTCCAGATTTTGTCTGCTCCAGTTTTGATAAATCCCCCTCACAATGTTTTATAGATACACACACTAAAGCAATAAATGGAAGTCTTTTGTCAATATTTTTTTAAAGTTTTTTCATTTTGAGTAGTATCACGAACATTATTTATATTTTAGTCTTTGGTCTCATTTTAGACTTACATCAAAGGACAGAAACATCAAACGTCTGGAAGGTATATGTTTTTCCTCACAATTCCTATAATCAGGAGATGCACTGTTTTGGCATGAGCCATCCAGAACACTGGATCCGTTGTAATCCTATGAAATCTGGAAATGAACCAGGATTGTCTGTTTTTTTTCTTTTTAATGTGAAGTTCTACAAGGCAGGGTGAAACTGTTTCTGATCTTAAAAGAATCATAAAAAATAGGTGAATTATGAAAACTCTAAAGAGACCAGACTGAAACTAAACTGTTCTATGTACTGTAATTCCACATCCTTCCGTTAGATTTAAATTTATGCCCTCTAACAGCTGTTTTTTTTTTTTCTGTTTGGGTCTGGCTATGTGGCCAATATAGAACTCTTAAAGTGCACATGTGTCTAGACTGATGCCATTTAAAGTTCGCTTCTGCCTAGACTATAGACATAAAATATATACGTATACTTAACAAGCAAGAGTTATAAAACAATCCATCCCTGATCGTTCAAGTTGCATGGACTATAAAGTAATTGATTATCAAAGATCCTCAAAGTCGTATCAATGATCAATAGTGGGGTTGCATCAATTTCTGACAGCTTAGAAACGCCTGGTGTATATTTACATTACAATGCCAAGATTCTGCTCCCTGTAGAAGAACATTGCCTCTGTTGTTAACTTTGAATACCAATTTTTCCACAATGCCTCAACTACGGAGCTAAATGAGGGCTCACTCTAAAATGTTTTACTGATTATTAGGAAATGCATAGTTTGGGCACAGGTTTACTTTAAGCATTTACATTTCCTTCACAAGCAGTAAAAGATATTTAAAACAATCCCTCACAGACAACAGAGGACCAGGGCTGTCTCCATTGGAAGGTCACGTGGCAAGGTAACAATGCAGGAAAATAAGTGTGAGCTAGGGACACACTATAACAGGAAGTGGCTGATCAAGGACCTTCATGGCGGGATCACCAGGTATTGTTTTAATTAAACTTTAGATTTAAAACCTATATAAAAAGTTACTTTTTAAATTACATTAACATGTTAAAACGTATGAGATTTTAATGAATGGGTTTCTTTATAGTGTACTAAACTCAGGAGCTAAATCTTAAAAATGCATTCAAGTACTTTAACTATTTACAAAAATGTATCAATTGTGTATTGCTTAGTTGTAGATCCTTAAATGTGTGTATTGTTAAGTAGCCACTGCTCCAAGCTCACTCCCATGATGGACTACAATCTCAATAAAATTAGCAAACTATTGTAGTCTATCACGGGAGGGAGCTTGAAGTGGTGGCTACTTTACAGCACACACATATAACCCAAGCACAAGCACTGTTATATGACCCACATATAACAGACACCATGGGGAACAATAGTAGCCACCCTCCAGAAGGAAGGACAGTGTCATCACAAATTCAGAGATGATTTGAGAATCTACAGCCGAGTGAAAAAATTTTAACTTATGTGTGTGTTAATAGTTGGGGTACTTGAATGTATTTTTTAGGTTTGACTCCTGAGTTTAGTGTCACTTTAAACATTAAGATAAATTATAAAATCTCATAAATACGTTCTAAAGACATTGATGTATGCAAGCTATAAGAAAGTATAGTGGTGATATTTATAGCAACAGAAATTATTCACGCTTTTATTTTATTAGTGCTCGTTAGAAGATTAGAGTAACCCAGATGGTGTTTTTCCCCCTAAGTGTCTGCACAGGCTGTAGAGTGGCTACCATCTCCTCCCGATCCGACCATAACTGTCCATACCATGTGATCATGTCACATCTTTCTGTGTACTTTCTTCATGGTTTTACCATTGTAGAGTATAGCAAGCAGGTGTATGAGGACTTCTGTGTCAGCAGGAGCTATAAGAATTCAAGGTAAGGGGGAACAATTTCCGTCTACAGTAAAAAGAGCTCACCACTTGATTTATCTAGAGGTGAAAAGAGTGATGGCAGCACTTGTTTATAGTTACTAATGTCTAAATTACCAGATTTGGGTGTACCTTTTTAAAGTTCTTATTCTTTTAATTTATTTTTAAGGTTCTGCAGTTAGGCTCCGATATCCTTCCTCAGTACAAGCAAGAAGCACCAAAAACCCCACCACACATTATATTACATTACTGTGCATTCAAGACCACCTGGGACTGGGTCATCCTCATTTTGACTTTCTACACAGCAATCATGGTACCCTACAATGTCTCTTTTAAGACGAAACAGAACAACATTGCCTGGCTGGTGTTGGACAGCGTAGTGGATGTTATCTTTCTGGTGGACATTGTGTTGAACTTTCATACAACTTTTGTTGGCCCAGGCGGAGAGGTCATTTCAGACCCTAAACTAATAAGAATGAACTATTTGAAGACATGGTTTGTAATAGACCTGCTGTCTTGTTTACCCTACGACATCATCAATGCCTTTGAAAATGTGGATGAGGTAAGTCTTTAATACATTTAATGTATTCTATATGTTATCAGCATTTGGAATTAAAAGTATATAGAATATTTTTTCTAGACTGGAACATTTTGGCCAGGATATTTGTGAAAATCTGCGATCTGCGGTCTCTGCTCTTGAAATTCAAAATGGAAATGTATGCATGTATTCCTATATCTTGTCAATTTAACTACAGTATGTGTGTTTTATTAAAGTTTCTTTACCTTGCTGGTAATTGCTTGCTTGTCATTGTGAACATAGCAACATTATATTACTAATGCTCCAATGCATGTTCTACGGTAAGCTTGAGAAGGCTTTCATGACTCCTGCTTGAAGGAAGGAAGGACTGTGGGCTCTTTTTGGTTATAGCAGTTGCTTTCTCTCCTTTCATTCTGCAGTACTGTCCTAGCTCTAGCAAAGTATAAATAACCTGGTTGAGTTGCTCTACAGGAGTAATTCCATATCTGGAAACTTGGATAAGTAAACCCTGTTGTGAAGTACCATGCTAATTTCTTTCAGTTGCTAAGCAGGAGTGGCTGCTTGAGCTTGTGGCAGTTTTTATGGGGACAGTTTTTCACCCTCCTCTGTCACTGTACAGGTATAAAAGAATTTCAGTGCTTGTTTCAGCATTTTGCTGGAGTAACAAATAAAGATGTTCAGTACTGGTTAAGAATTGTTCCTGCTGGAGATAAACAAGCATTAATTGGAAGCAATTTGCGGTGAAAAAAACTCTTGAGTAAAAGGTTGATACAGCCATATAACAGACACTTGCCATCTGTGCTGTAGGCCAAGGGTATCTTGTATGTACATCTCAAGAGCTGTCACTCTATGACCCACTTTCAGATGACACTGGGTACAGATTAAGCCCTTTATTGGTATCAGGGGTATTGAACAAGTCAGCTTGTCTTCTTGTAGTGATAAAATTGGTATATACAATACAGAGAGCTTAGATGCACTGTAAAATGAGATGGGCATATGATGTTGTGTTGACGTTTATTACCTTATTCCAAGAATAAGACACTCTGAGTCAAAGTTCAAATTAACCTGTTGCCTATGCTTTTTTTATCTTTATTAACTGGCAAAAGTAAGCAACAGCAGGCTGCATAAAGTGCCTTTTACATACTGCAGTCCTACCCCAATATGTCCTCTGCAGGTTTTGGGAGCCCCAGCATCCCCACCTATCAGTTTTAGAGTCAAGGGATCAGTAGCCACCTGAAATCTGATAGGTACTGGTCTGTCCACTGCTTGACTGTAGACTGTATAAAATGGCAATCTTAAACAAAAGAAGCCTGTAGTTGTTTTATATTCAATCTCAATAAAATAAAGGATAGATAAACAGTTAAAATACATATATGATAACTGTTTTACCTACCATAGATTGTGTAGTTCTGTGCAGCCAGTTGTGTAATCCAGACACCCCTGCTGAGCAGCACATCCAATTCTGTAACCACCAATGCAATGACCTCCTTGTCCAAGCATTACTTCTTTGGTGTGGAATGGGCAAAGGTTATCTTCCGCAACCCTGGTGGCTTACAAACTGTAGGTGAGCTAACGTGAAGAGGGTTTATGTGCAAACTATCTGCCTTTGTGGCACAGTAGGAAGGTATCTGCATTCTCAGGAACTGATACAGTGTCCTTTTGGTTCTTTTATCTTTTTCATAGTAGATAATGTGTTGTATTAGTAGTTAAAAGAAAATGCACACTACAGCTTAAAGAAATCATCATTATTATTCCAGCCCCAGTATAATAGATGTCAAGAAGAATCAGTTCAGTACTAAATGGAGCAAGGGATTCTGGGAGATTATTATGGTCCATGTCCAATGCTATCATAGTTAACTGGTTCATTCATTTAATAGGAAGCTTTGTAGTTACTGTGAAAACAGGGCAGTTCAAAGCAAAGTTGACCTGAGTTTAGCAACTGCAATATTTCCTAGATAGTAGCAGTAAACTCATTTTTATGTATTGATTTACAGACGCTACTCAGTACTAACTTCCACACATCACAGTGTAGTTTACGTTCAACTGCAGACTCCCCCTCCCTCCTCTGAACCCCCCCCAATGTATTATTATTTCTTAAATATATTTACCTTTTCAGTTGTCCTCAGCTTGGTCATGGGACATGCAGGGTCTTGGTTGGATCCTCTCCCAGGAGTGGGCGGTCCTCAGTGTTTTGTTATTACACTGTAAATGCAGGGTGCCATTGCGGCCCGTCTCAGGGGGTGGGTCGATGACACCCTGGAGACACAACATGGCCACAGTCTTCCAGGTTGAATGTCACTCAGCATCTTCAACCTGGAAGACTGAGGACATCTAGTGGTGAAAATGAATGACTGTTGGGGACAGTGCCACAGAGAAAGTGAGGATTGCAGCCAGTGCTACTCTTTTATGTTAAACCCCTGCTGGAATAGTTTAAAAATAAATTACCCAGAGTTGGGCATTAAGAAGTGTCAACGTGGGGGCTATAGAAAGCTCTTGTAAATCTCAGATATGGCTGGACAAAATTACACATCTTTGGCAGGTAAAAACACATTGTATATATGTATTACAATTGTGTATTTAGCTAGATGGTTTGGATTTCAGCTTAACCCGATAATCCGGTGTGTTTTTAAAATGCTAAATTATTAATTTAATTTAACAAGCACCATACAACAGAACAAAAATTTCAGACTCAATACAATGGCACAATCCATAATACAGTACAATTTCTATATCCAAAACATATTACAAGTTTATTAAACACTACACATAATGATGGACATACATTTAAAACATCTAAAAGACACATCAAGCCCTCCAAATTGGGGGTTTGAAACGTGTTTTTAGAGGGTTTTTAAATGTATATCCATTATCAGTTTGAGATATCAAATATGCTTTGATAATATGTTTTTTTTTATTGTATTTTATTTATTTTGTAATATGTTTTGAATTTAGCAGTTGCATTGTATTGTGTATTGTGCGGTTCTATTGGGTCTGGAATATTTATTTTCTTTTGCGTGGTGTATAGTTCTACATCCAGATTCCCTAGCACCTATATCATTGGATGTAGTGCCAGACTTGTGTATTGTTGACCTTAAGAAGCAGACATGCTTGAACCTGGCATTATCTTTTGTGATACATGTACCAGTGTTTCATAAACTTCACGTGTTGGACCGGTCCATAGTACTAGTGTCATGTAGGCTCTTATGCTTCATGATTACACCTATATACCTTCCACTTAAGTTGCAAGAACTGTTTTATTGCGCTTCAGCCCGCTACAGAAAATTGAACGTTTTGGCTTTTGTCACCAACCTCCTTCCAATGTTAAACAATTTGATTGTGTTCCTTGCTTTATTTAAACAACCTCCCTGGTGTTAACTTGTTACAAGCTAATTGTCACCTCTTCTCCCTGCTGCTGCAGAGAAATAAGTAATCACGCGGCAGGTGATGTTTACCATTGTTGCAAGCCAATTACCTCCCACTCACTAAATACAAATACCTGTTATAGCTAAAACTATTGTTGGAGTCAAAGGCAGCTCTTTGGAGTGGAGACAAAGCTTGGCCTGAATCAACTGATGAATGAGTTTATTGTGGGGTCTTCTGTCTCACTGTGCGCTTGCTCAGATGCATGGCCATTCTGCCATTAGCTAAGCGGGGAATATTGTCTCAAGTGATGACCTCTAGGGGTGGTGGAAAGAAAAGTGACTGCTCGCCTTGCTGCCCCTTAGCTGTATTTCAATGCTTTGTAGAAAAGGCAGTGGAATGAAGAATCTGCATTGCATGATTGCTGTGTCGGAGAGGAGGCTGGGCTTAGTGGCATTGGGTGGGTGTGTACTTGCAGGCCGCTCTCGCTCACCCCAGCAGACACCTTTTGAAATCGTAAAAGTTTTAGAGAGTTTTGTAAAGGTGATATTAAGGTGAATGTCTGGACAAGAATAAAAACTATATTCAATTAATTTCTGCAAGACAGCACATTTCCCCATGTTTTATCCCTGTAACAATGCTGCGTGTAGAGAAAAATTCCCATTGATCTTGCTAGAAATCTGGTGTTTCTAACCTGTTTAAACCAAGTGACTCTGCTGCAGTTGAATCTCAAACACCCCTGCCCAGTTCTCCCCTACTAGTCTACATGACACTTCTCCTTTATCTGGGCAGGGGTGTTTGAGATTGAACTGCAGCAGAGTCACTGGGTTTAAACAGGTTAGAAACACCAGATTTCTACCAGGATCAATGTTTTTTTTCTCTACTTGCAGCATTGTTACAGGGATAAAACATGGGAAAATGTGCTGTCTTGCAGAAATTAATTGAATAAAGTTTTTTTTATTCTTGTGGAGACAAACACTAATATCACCCTTACAAAACTCTCGAAAACCTTTATGATTTAAAGAGGTGTCTACTGGGGTGAGTGAGAATGGCCTGCAAGTACACACCCACCCAATGCCACAAGCTGTTCTGTAGGACAGCAGCGATAACCCTAGCACTTAGACTTTTTGGGTTACCATTCTATAAATAGCTTCAATCTGAAATGTTGGTTTGGGAGTTGACTCTCACACTATTCATAATTTGTAACTAGATTTTCTTATCACAGTAAGACAAAAACAGTCTGCTAGTTCATGAATTCTTCCATTCACACTGTATTCTGTTTTCTCAGGGTATCAGCAGCCTTTTCAGCTCCTTGAAGGTAGTACGGCTTCTGAGGTTGGGCCGTGTTGCCAGAAAGCTGGACCATTACCTGGAATATGGTGCTGCAGTGCTAGTTCTCCTGGTCTGCGTGTTCGGTCTCGTTGCTCACTGGTTAGCTTGCATCTGGTACAGCATTGGAGACTATGAAGTCATTGACGAAGCGACCAACACAATCAAGAATGCCAGCTGGCTTTACCAGTTGGGAATAAGCATTGGTAATCCATATCGCTATAATGCCAGTGGCTCAGGGCAGTGGGAAGGTGGACCTAGCAAGGACTCTTTGTACATATCTTCTCTATACTTTACCATGACAAGCCTTACAACTATTGGATTTGGAAACATTGCTCCAACAACCGATGGAGAGAAGATTTTTTCAGTTGCAATGATGATGGTTGGCTGTGAGTAATCTTTCATTTTCTTATACTGAAGTATGTATGATAAGTGGTATGGTTGCTTGTTTAAAACTAGACCCAAGTGATGGTAAAATTGTCAACAATCTAAGATGGTCAAAAGTTTAGCTTCCCAAACCAAAAAGCCAAAGTTATTATTGACAGAGAAACCAATTATTTTTCCTCCATGCTTAACTACAGTAAGTGATATTGGTAGTTGTTTTTTTGGCATGTCCCTCTCTGGTCTAATAATGTTTAGTGCTTAAAGCAGTGCTGTAGTTATGCTGCTTCTACACAGCATACTTTACGCGCAGCATACATTATGGCAGACTCCCCTCCCTGTTTGCACTCCTACAGTGCTGACAGGCCAGAGCTATCCATCACCCTCCCTTGCCGCTCTGTCCCCCCCTGCCACCTTCTCTGCTGATTCCTCTGGGTTCCTATTGCTCATCTTCAGCCATTGGTTGGCCAGATTGATTACATGTGCACAAGAGTAAAATTGCTCCGACACCAGCTTCCGTGATGCTGGCAATAGGCCAGCACCCTGCACTGTACATGTGCCACATGCAATGTGCACTATAAAAAAAAATTGCTGGCACTAAGGACAAAGTGTTTGTTTTATTTTTAAGCAAAAGAGCTGTAAGTGACTGAGTGCTCAGCTGGACTGTTAATCCTACATTGATTGCACATGTGCCTGATAACCCTCACTTCTTAAGGTGCCCATACACCTTACGATTATCGGACTAAACTTTTCGTCCGATGATCGAACCGTCGTACGATTTTCGTACGACGGCCCCATCCTGCCCCGATTATCGCAAGGTTCAATCAGCGGTAGTTAGAAAAAAACACCTGGACGACTTGCGGTAATTGACCGCAATTATTTTCGTTTGCACATGCGCAGTGTTAATCGTACGACACTTGACGGACGGAAACGCCACCAACCATGAGAACATCATACGATCAACCAAAGTTTTCAAACATGCTTGACCGTCAAAAGTCGTACGATTGTACACTACTATCGGTCGGGCACTCTATTCACACGTTACGATTGTCGTACGAAAAGTCGATCGCATACGATTATCGTACGATAATCGTAAGGTGTATGGGCACCTTTAGCATCCATACTAACAATCAAGGGCACAAGGTGACAATTCTGCAGGGAGTTCACTGCACGGCTTTTAGCATTGTTGTCCTTTGGGAGGAAAGCCCTTTGATTTTCACGATTACCATGTTTTTATTATGTAAAATAAGAAGCTGGATGAAAGTTAAATTATGCAATTTTTTATGCTTTGCATGGATATTTAGCCTGATGTATGATAACTTTTGGGTATAGTTGTACTTTGAGTAAAACTATAACCATATTTATAATCGTACTGCTTCTCTAAAGTTGTTATTTAGTTTGATATCACTGCTGAGCTGTTTTTATTCATTAACCTTGTAGACTTCCTTTAATGTTGGAAAAAAAAACGAGTGGCGACCTATAAATGGAATGTGCTCTGGTAAAGATTCTGCAGTTTTAGGGAGCTGAATTGTTTCACTGAATTATTTTATGAATGTTAGAGATTTTGGGCAAACCATTTGGGAGAGGAAATCTCTATCCATATCTTAAGGTTAATGTGCACTACTAATTTCTAACCTTTTCTAGTGAAGTTGATATTGTAGAGCAGAGAAGATAAGATGGTTCCATTTGTGCATTTAGTAAATTAAACCCAATTTGATATTATTTAGGGGATTATTTATTTAATTAGTGTGCAGTGATCTCACAGTTTTCTTAAGAAACGGAGTGAACGCATGCGGTTTCAATCTGCGGCTTCTCAGCAGAGGAGACAGAGTGCCTCTGTACAAAGCATTAGTAAAACTTCATCTTGAATATGCAGTTTAGGTTTGGGCACAGGAAAAGGTTGCAAAACTGGAGAGAGTACAGAGCAGGGTAACTAAATTTAAAAGGGACATGGAGGACCTCGGCTATAAGGAAAGATTAACTGAACTGAATTTGTTCTCCCTTGAGAAGACGTGATGAGAGTATATGACGACTTTGTATAAGTACATTAATAATCCATATTGTAAACCTAATGTTTAATGTTGTTGAAAATAAAAAAGGGGGGCTCTCCTTTTTTTTGTAATCTCTCCATACAGAAATGTTTCTTTAAGTAAAAGCTTTTAAAATGTGCAAATGTCAGGTAGATGGACTTAATTTTCTGGAGTGTCCTTTATAAATGTTGCTGCAGAAAACACTCCGGTGACCATTGTGCCCGTGATTGACCGTGCAGATCACAGGCAAAATGTACAGAGCCAATCAGACTTGCTGTGTACCTTGTGATCGCTGTGAGCCAATCACAAAGCCACATGTGTAAACACTGTCTGCATTTAAAATCCTACAACCCTCCCCTTCCTCTTAAAACGGAGGATTGCAGGAGGGGATCTGCAGCAGCAGATTCAAAATCAAAATCACATTGGAGTATGTGTTTCCACTGTCCTAAAAATTTGATTAGATGTAATGTATAACAAAAAGTAATTATTTTTTCACGTTTTACTGATTACCAAATACCATATAAGAAAGCTCTACCTGTCTTACAAAAATGATATGTTTTTTTATATAGTCAATTTATTTGGTTGAAGTGTTGCACGGCCAAGTAATTGTCAGTCAAACTATTACAGTACTGAAAAATGAAAAATCATCTGGTAATGAAGTATTTACAGGCTGGTACTCAAGTGGCAAAATGTGAGATGTATTTCTAAATTAAATTGCCTAATAATGATAATAAGTAATAACACTGTAGACTATTGATCCAGGGAGTATCTGAGAAAACCAGGAAATAAGTTTTTCTCTACATGGCAATTTGGACCATGCCTTTAAGGATCCACTGCCAGTTTTAGGTTTTTTTTTGCCTGCCTTCTGGATCAACTGCCAGTTTTAGGGTTCTGAGATACGTTCAAACTCCTCTTTTTGTTGAACTTGAGGGACTTGACTTTCTTCAACTGGACTTACTTAAATTTTTAATTTTTTTGCCTTGTTTTGAGAGGAGTATAATGTTTGTCCAGACAATTTTCCTTTATAGTTTGAAACGTTTACTCATTAGTTATAATGTCCTTGTCTGTTAATTCCTTATGTACCCATTAGGAAATACTTTAATTTTGCTCAGTCATAGTGATGGTGAATTAGAAAAACAAAAAAATAAGGTGTAGTTCTCATGATCTGACTCCTTCTAAGTTACAACACTATATCCCAATAGAGTATATCATAAAATAGGTTTAGACAAATTTGGTATAAGGAGCCAGTCTAGTCAATTCGGGAGCCAGCAGGATCTTTTTAGGAGCCACATCCATTGGCAACAACTAGAGAAATCCTCAAAAGTTAGGCACCAGCTGTAATTCGTAGGGAGCACTGGGTTCCTGGGATTTTACTAGCCCTGTCCTAACAGGTCTTCTATTTGGACAAAGGGGTCTAGATCAAGCAATTTTTCCAATTGTGTTTATTCAATAAGTGAATCCTATAATGCTATTTGTCTATAATATATTATCTATAATATCATTAAGATGTCTGTTCCCGCCAAAAAGAGAAAAGGGTGAAAACGGCCCCCTTGGAAAGCATCTCATCCTGTAATGTGTTGGAAAGACTAGGCCAGTTCTCCCATAGAGAGGCAGGACGCATGCTCTACTGTTTAGCTGAGATATAGTTCTCAGGGGTTCCTGGACAACAAGTCTGGATGAACAGAATATTATTAAGTTGTTTGCTGGCAGGTAAACGTTAAGCTGAATTGTGTCATGTTTTTTGTAGGGTGAGGGTTTATATGACACATTATGATTCCCATGTATCTTTTTTTATTTTACTTTGATGTGTACTGACTTTACAAAGATATTAGTTTTCCTAATTGACCTAGTGATAAATTATTTTACTGATGTGAAATATCCTGATTCATTCAGTTAATATGACAAATTATTTAATCGGATAAAATGCTCTGCTAATGTTTTATTGATGTTTGAAGCCACACTAAAGAAAACAATCCAAGTCATTTTCCAGCATGATTTGGATTGCGTGCATTTAACGTACACTTTCAAATGATGTAGTATTATTATGCGTAATCAATGTTGATTGCCTTGATTAAAGCAGACAAGTCTGAAAATGTAATCTCAAATGAATGATCTAAAGAGTATTCTAAAGAGCTGAAACACACTGGAAAAAAAATAAAAATAATAATAATAAAAAAAATATCTATCTATCTATCTATCTATCTATCTATCTATCTATCTATCTATCTATCTATCTATCTATCTATCTATCTATATATATGTGTTTATATCTATCTATCTATCTATCTATCTATCTATCTATCTATCTATCTATCTATCTATCTATCTATCTATCTATCCAGCTATCTATCTATCATGATTAAAGCTGGGTGCTCTATCTCACAATCTCTACTGGGGGCAGGAAAAGCATCCACCTCAGTCTGCAGCTGGAGCCATGGCCTCTTCTACTTCTGCATTACCTGGCTGACTTCTGCACTGTGCAAAACCAAGATGTCAAACTAGGTATGTAGTCCTGCAGTTTATACTGACACCAAAGCTCCACTGTCAGTGTGACAGCCCCTGCTCTGTATCGGCAATGCTGAGAATGGCAGACAATGTCAAAGTTATAACGCAACTATCAATTTCAAAATTACCTTATTTTTTTTCTTAAAATGATAAAACCCCAATTCCAAAAAAGCTGAAAAGCTGCGTAAAATCTACATACAAATATAATGAAATGATATGCAAATCTCATAAACCCATATTTTTTTCACAATAGAAAACATATCAAATGTTTAAACTGAGAAAATGTACATATACATGTATGTAAAACAAAAAAAAGTAATTTTAAAATTGATGGCTGCAACACTTATCCAAAAAGTTGGGAGAGGGCAACAAAAAGCTGGCAAAGTAAATGGTACTAACACAGCAGAGCTGGAAGAACATTTTGCAACTAATTAGGTTAATTGGCAACAATCCGTAACATGATTGGGTATAAA